AAGACTCAACAGACAGCAGAGCTATAAAACTGGAGACAGCACAAACAGAGGTGGAAACGAGCACAGCAGAATTGAATGGCAAAGAATTTGCAGGAGCAGATCCAGGAGACCAGCATGAGACCCTGTAATGGGCTTCCTAGATCCTTTGCTCTAGGTAAGTGGCAAGGGCAGACTCATGTTTGGAAGAGTGAAGGGACGGTGCAAGAGGAAGATCCTTGATGAGATGGACCGATTCTGTGAGTGGAGTGGTGGGAATGAATGTGTCTGAGACGGCGAGATTGGCACAGGATAGAACGGTGTTTAGGGCTCTTGTACATAGGGTTGCTATGAGTCGCAAGTGACTCGATGGCACAGAACAACAAAAACAACAACAGCAACATGCCTAATGTATGTGAGACAAAGTTGATCATCTTTGCCTCCAAGGAGCACTCTGGCTGAACCTTCCCTAAAACGTACCTGCTTATTCTTTTGGCAATCCAGGGAATATTCAGTGCTCTTCTCTAACACCACAGTTCAAAGGCATCAGTTTTTCTTGGTGGTGCTAAAGAGCTCTTATCTAACACTTGGTTGAGTGGTAATGAGGACAGGTCTGAACAGTGGCTCAGCCAAAGTGTGACAGTTAGTGATGATGCTGAGAGCTGTGGTCTCTAGGCTGAGGCCCAGACAGAGCAAGACCTCGGCCAAGAACCAGGGCCTATTGCAGCAGCCAAAAAAAAAGAAAAAGTGAGAGAGAGAGAGAGAGAGAAGGAAAGAAAGAAAAGAAAGCAAGAAAGCAAGCTGTTTTTATTAAAGAACTGTGTCCTGAGTTGTTCCTATTAGTTTTGAGTTATAACCTGTTACTTCCCAAACAAATCCGATACTCATGAGTGTGGTATGTGAATTCTGTATGGTCATTGCAATGAATTATCAAACCCTGTGGAGTAAATTATTGTGAGAGGAATGGCTGTTGGAAAGATTAGTGCAACAATACAGTGAACTAACTACTCAATATGATTCTTACAGTCTTTGTTTTTGTGACTTCCACACAATGATTTGCTGTTACTATGCAAATAAAGTGCTTGTTGTCCATCAAGGAAACTGGACAGCTTGCTTCTAATGTGGATAAGGTGTCTGGGACTTGTGATCGTTAAGCTTATGTGTCAATGTGGAGAGCCCATGACTGTCAGTAGTGTGGTAGTTGAATAATGAGGTTATTTGGCAGCAATTAATGATATAGTAATGATATAGTTGTCCTCCGATTTGTAATCTGTTGTAATTATCTTCTGTTTTGTGATGTGTTATAAATTTTAGCCTATAAGCCTATAGTATGTGTATATATATATATATAATCAATGCCTTAGAATTGTGGAGCTCAAGAAGAGTCTTGACCATAACATAGGATAACAAGAAAACAGACAGGTCTGTCTTGGAGAGGGTGAAACCAAGTTTCTCCTTGGAGGCTAGGATTTTAAAGCTCTGTCTCCCATACTTTGGGCACATGACCAGGAGAGACTAGTCCTTGGAGAAGGACATCATGCTTAGAAGGGTGGAGGGACAGCACAGGAGAGGAAGACCCCAGACAAGATGGATTGATACAGTGACTGGGGCAATGGGTTTGGTGTGTCGGAATTAGTGAGACTGGCTCAGGATAGGGCAAGTTTCAGAGCTGCTGTACATAGGGTCATTATGGGTCACAGGTAATAAAGCCTATCATAATGGTTCCATGTGGGAGTGAGTTATCCTTTATGTTAATGAAGCAGGATTAGGGTGAGATATGTCTCAAATCACCACTTTGCTAGAGGATGTGACTCAAGTACCCACTCTTTCTGCCCTTATTCAGGTCTTGCCCTTGCTCCACCTTGCTCAAGTGAGTAAGGAGTGTTTCCTGCATCCAACATACGGGAATGCTCCAGCAAAGCTTTTTCCTTGCTCTGAATCCTGCTTCTGGCTCATTATAATAAAATTGAACCAGTAGCCTACTGTCTGATCTCATTCACAGATTCCATGGCTGTGTGAATCAGCAGCCTGTTGTCTGATCCGCGGCTTTGGGTTCACCAATCTGTGCAGCTACATAGGTAAAACGAAGCCTCTAGGTTGACTTCTGACCCACAGGTTTGGAACTTGTCAGCCTCCATAACTGTATGAACCTTTTCCTTGATGGCTCATGAGTTCTGTGAGGGATTGTAGCAAATTAAGGAACCCTAAAATGGAAAGGAGAGAACTGAAGGGAGGAAATATTATTGATGTTATAGATAATGGAGCGTTGCAGTAGTTAGCAAAAGTTGGAATTTGAGATATATTTAACCTCAGCTATATAGGAACCAATTTTGTACTGATATTTCTAAAAGAAATTATCCATTCAACAGGAAAATGGAGAAATGTCAAAAGGGTTAAAAAAGGAAGGTATATTTCTGCCTCCTAGAAATCAGTTTTTGGGTTGGTACTAATGGTGATTTTCTTTCCTTTGGGAAGGTCCAACACCACACCATTTCTACAACATCAGACTTGGTAGGTGTCTGAGGACTACCAGAGACTTTTCTGGCTACCTGGTAAGTAACATCCTTACATAATACTCTGAAGACTTACTCTTAAACTTGATCTAGTAGGAGCCGAACTGAGGACTTGGAATAGTGTACACAAGGAAAAATGGGAATCTGCAAATAAAAAGTAGACTTAAGAATTTACTGCTAGTCTTGGGTTGTTTGATAAAAATCCTAGATTTAACTAATTGTTTATTTTACAAATAATATCATCAAATTCCAACAAATTAATGTAATACTAGAAGCACTTTTCTATGCCAAGGAATTTATAAAACCTGACCTGGAACATATTCATATTCTGATTTATTCCCAAGAAAGGTGATCCAACTGAATACAGAAATTACTGAACAATATTAGACACAAGTAAATCTTTGCTAAGGATAATTTAAAACTAGTTGGGACTGTACATCTCCAGGGAACTGCTAGAAACTGAAGTCTGATTCAGAGAAGGATATGGCCTGAGAGATAGCATTACCAATGTTAGATAGATCATACCAGAAAGCAAAAACATATATTCTTGTGTTCAACTGCCTATGCAAAGTCATTTGACTCTGTGCATCTTAACAATTTATTAATGATGTTGCAAAGAATGCAAATTTATAAACATTTAAGTGTGTTCATGCAGAACCTATACATACACTAAGAAGTAGTCATTTCAGAAAGAACAAGGGAATCTTGCATGGTTTAAAAATCAGAAAGGTATGTCTCATGATTATATCCTTTTGCTATACCTATTCAATCTGCTGAGCAAATAGTCTGAGAAACTGGTGTTTATGAAGAATGTAGTATCAGGATTGAAGGAGGATTCAGTAGCAACCTGCAATATGCAACTTACACAGCTTTACTTGTAGAATATGAAAAGGCTTGAAGCACTTACTGATGAAGACTAAAGATTATAATAGTCTTCAATATGAATGACAAGATCTCAAAATAAAACAAAAATCTTAACCCTTGGGTCATTAAACAATATCGTGATTAATAGAGGCTATCAAGGATTTCATTTTACTTAGATATACAATCAACACCCATGGAAGCAGAAGTAAAAAAAAAAATTAAACAATGTATTGCATTGGGAAGATCTGCTACAAAGGATCTCTTTAAAGAGCAAGGATGTCATTTTAGGACAAAGGTACACCTAATTCAAACCATGGTATTTTTAATCGCCTTATATGTATGTAAAAGTTGGATAATAGATAAGGAAGACTGAAGAAGAATTGATGCTTGTGAATTGTGTTGCAGACAAAGAATACTGGCACTAAAAGAATGAACTAATTTGTTTTGGAAGAAGTGATGATCATTGAAGGGTGGGGGTGGGAAGACTTCACCTCAGGTACTTTGGATATGTTATTAGGAGAGATCAAATCCTGGAGAAAAACGTCATGCTTGGGAAAGGAGAGGGCCAGCAAAAAAGAGGAAGATGCTCAACGAGATGGATTACACAGTGTTCGCAACAATGGACATAAGGCAGATATTATCAATCAGACCAGTGCAGGATCACAGTTCCGCTCTGTCCTGCGTAGGATCACTGTGAGTCAGATCCAACTTGGCAGTGTCTAATGACAACAGCAACAATTACAGAATAACAGCCTAGAGTGGAAAATATACCCACTCCTACAATTTCTACCCCCATCGTGATGGGAAAGGTAGAGGGTCAGAGAAGAGGAACCTCAACAAGAAAAATTGGCAGAGTGACTGCAGCAGTGGCTTTAAGCCCCGTGGAGATTTCATTCTGTTTTGTTGAGAGTTACTATGAGTTGAATATGTACCTAACTATAAAAACAGCTCCTAACTATGACAACAATGATGTTCTATGGTTATAAGAAACACTAAAGATGAACGACTTTGCTATATTTCTTTTATGCCCTGCCCTTGGAATTTTTTCTTTTTTTTTAACTCATACATGGGTTTATTGGCAAAGCCCTCCATTGCCTCCTGGGTTATTTGGAAGCAACTCCCAAACTATTTAATCTTCAAATATTTCAATTTGTATTTCTACTAACAATAAATACTCAGTTTTAAACATGACTAAATCATCATTATTATTACTCCAACAATTTCTTCATTATATGTATAATATTTTAAGATGCATTTGATACTTGTTGCTAAGTTACCTTCCAGGAAAGTTAATCAAATTTATATTTCAATTTTTATTCTTTGTTAATTTCACAGCCCCCACCCCAAAATAGCTCTTTTGCAGTCAGAAATCAATCGAACATGCAACCAAGATGCATTAATAATAATAGGTGGCAGGAATGCAAAAGTTAGGAACCAGGAAGAAGGATCAGTAGTTGGAAAACATGGACTTGATGACTGAAATGAGGCTAAGATAGAATGATAGAATTCTGCACAATCAATGATTTATTGATTGCAAATACCTTTTATAAGAAACATAAATGCAGACTGTTTTTCGTCTTCTAGCGCTTGAGTCTCTTCCTGATCTTCGTGAAGATGCAGCTCAAACCGATGGAGATCAACCCGGAGATGCTGAACAAACACGAGAATTTCAGGAAAAAGCAGATTGAAGAACTGAAGGGACAAGAAGTCAGTCCCAGAATGTACTTCATGAAGCAGACTATTGGGAACTCCTGTGGGACCGTTGGACTGATACATGCAGTGGCCAATAATCAGGACAAACTGCAGTTTGACAATGGATCTGTCCTGAAGCAGTTTCTTTCTGAAACGGAGAAGCTGTCTCCTGATGACAGAGCAAAACGCTTTGAAAAGAATGAGGCCATCCAGGCAGCTCACGACGCTGTGGCGCAGGAAGGTCAGTGTCGGGTAGACGACAAAGTGAACTTTCATTTTATTCTGTTTAACAACGTGGATGGCCACCTCTACGAACTCAATGGACGAATGCCTTTCCCCTTGAACCATGGCACCAGTTCAGAGGACTCCCTGCTGCAGGATGCTGCCAAGGTGTGCAGAGAATTCACTGAGCGTGAGCAGGGGGAGGTCCGCTTCTCGGCCGTTGCCCTGTGCAAGGCAGCCTAATGTGCTGTGAGGAACTTGCCTTTCCCCTCTTTTCCTTTAACGTGAAGACAAGTACCTACCAATGTGGTCTAAAATGCTTCTGTACTTGTGAAACAAAGCTGTTTTTCAGTTCTGCAGAAATGCTCATATCCTCAGCCATATCCAAGCACTAGCAGAGCTCTACTGTGGAGTCAGGCAGGGTTTCTTGTAAGCTTCAGATGGCAAAGCATTTCCTTAGATCCGCTCTTGTATGTCTTGTTACCTTAATATTTAATGCTTTAAATGGCTACTCTGGTTTATGTCTGTAAGTTAAGGCCTTGGATGTGGTTTGTCGTTAAAAGGAATTAAACTTTACTGCTCATAAAGAGAAAAAAAAAAAGAAAGATAAATGCAGGCTGTACACATGAATTTCACCTGAATCAATCTGAATCAGATTGATTACATCTGTGGAAGAAATTGTTGGAGAAGTTCAATATCAGCAGTTGAAAACTAGGCTAGATGCTGATTGCAGAGCAGACCATCAACTACTCATATGAAAGTTCAATTTTTTTTTACATTGATTAATTCTTTTATTATTATTATTATTAAATTTTATTAGTTTTAATGAACATTTACAGAGATTTTGGGTTTTCATTCATTCATTGTTGCACTGTTTTCTCCACCCTCCTCCCCAATTCGTTTTTCTTTCCCCCCATGTCCATTTTAATTGTCGAATTGCCACAGTGCTTGTCAAAGCCAGTTCTGATTAATCTCCTTTGTCAGTGTGTCCCTTGGCATTCCCTATCACTCCTCCGTGAGAGAGACTTCACCCTGATTCATAAGGAAAAGGGGATGGCGTATTCTCTTAGCTACTTCCTGCTGAAAAGGGACGCTGTGGGTTTCAGGGTGAAGGTCTTCTCTCACTACTCTAAAGCACCCCTTTGACAGTAGGAAACACATAGACTATTATGGAGATTGATTTTGGAGTTTAGATGCACTGTTATCAGTTGTGTTTAGCCGTACATGTTCATATCCTTGAAGATGTATCATGGAAGTGTTGCAGCTTGTTTAGTTTCTTCTACTACCCCTCCTGGAACAAGCTGTCCAGTTGCAGGGTTCAAACCTACTTGTCCCGAAATGTAAACAGTCCTGTCGCCCAGCACAGCTTGACACGGTAAGTGAATTCGTGATTTCTGCAGCCCAGGTGCCAGTGATGCCTCGACCAAGGGCAGCCACAGGACACATCTTTGAATGCTAATCTGTAAGGACCAATGGCCCCCGGGGCTTTCACGGTGCTGATCACCTTTTTGACCAAGGACGCCATGGCGAATCCTCTTGCTCACCGATCTTTGGAAAGTCAAAAGCTCTTCTCGTTCACGGTGCACTGACTCAAATTAAAGCAAAGAAGGTAAAAAAAAAAAAAAAAGCAAAAAAGGTCAAATCAAATCCACAGGAATAAAAAAATTGATCTTGAGTCATTTGTCCCTGAACTTAAAAACCAACTCGGGAACAAGTTTGAGGCCTTGAACACTAATGAATGAAGAGCAGATGAGCTGTGGTAGGATATCAAGAACATCATCCATAAAGAATGCAAAAGGTCATTACAAAAACAGAGGAAGAAGACCAAAGTGGATGCCAGAAGAGACTCTTAATATTGCACGAGAGCTCCAAAAAGACAAAGCAAAGGGAAGAAGTTAAGGAGTTGAATGGAAGACTTCAAAGGGCAGCCCGAAAAGACAAGGCAAAGTATTATAATGAAATGTGCAAGGAGTTGGAGTAGGTAACACTCCAAGGGCTCAATTCATTCAGCATTTCTTAAGCTGAAGGAATAAAAAAACAAATTCAAGCCATGAATTGCAATACTTAAGGATGCTATAGGCAGAATATTGAATAATATCACTAATGCCACCAATAATAGCAAGCAAAATCCTGCTGAAGATTATCCAAAAATGACTGGAACAGTACATTAACAGAGAACTACCAGAAATAAAAGCTGAGTTTAGAAGAGGTCATGGGACTAGAGACATTATCACCAATGTCAAATGTATCTTGGCAGAAAGCAGAGTACCAGAAGAATGTCTACCTGTGCTTCATTGATTATGAAAAGGCATTTGTGCGGATTACAACAAATTGTGGGTAACTTTGAAGAGAATGGGAATCCCACAACACTTGATTGTGCTCATGCAAAACTTCTATTAGGAAGCAGTCCTCAGAACAGAGCAAGGAAACACTACATGGTTCAGGAAAGGAGTGGGTCAGGGATGCATCCTGTCTCCATATCTTTTCAATGTATATGCAGAACAGATCATTCGGGAGGATGGGCTTTATGAAGAGGAATGTGGCATCAGAATTGGAGGAAGACTCATCAACAACCCTATGTTATGCAGATGACACAGCCTTGCTTGCTGAAACTGAGGAGGACCTGAAGCACTTGCTGCAGAAAGTCAAGGACTGTAGTCTTCAATATGAATTGAAGCTGAACATCAAGAAAACAAAGATTCTTATGACTGGGCCAACTGGCAGCTCAATGATAGATGGAGAAGAGATTGAGATTATCAACAATTAATTAAAACTTACATTAAAACATCCAAACTCTTGGCACCAGCAGTTAGGAAATCAAAATATGAATTGCTTCGGGAAAATCTGCTGTGAGGGACCTTGCCAGAGCACTGAGAAACAATGATGCCAGTCTAGAGGCTAAGATGCACCTGATACAAGCCAAAGTCTTCATAATTATTTTCTATGCATCAGAGTTGAACAGTGATTAAAGATGACAGATGAAGGATCGGTGTTTTTAAATTATGATGCTGGAGAAGAGTCTTGAACATACCATAGACTGCCAAGAAATTAAATAGATCTGTCTTGGAGAGGGTGAAACCAAGTTTCTCCTTGGCAGCTAGGATTTCGAAGCTCCATCTCAAACACTTTGGGCACATGGCCAGGAGGCACCGGTCCTTGGAAAAGAACATTATGCCTCTAAGGGTGGAGGAACAGCACAGGAGAGGAAGACCCTGCATGAGATGGATTGACGCAGTAACTGGGGTAATGGGAGTAGGTGTATTGTAGACAATGAGACTGGCTTAGCACAGGGCAGGCTACAGAGCTGTTGTACACCGGGTCGCTATGAGTCAGTCACAGGCGACTCTACGGCACATAACAACAAATAATAAGCAATATTTTCCTCGAGCATTTGTAGTCTTAATGCAATTTGCTGTTGAAGAATATTGTCACTGTCCTATGAAGAAGAGTGTCAGAGTCCCACTTTGGGCCCAATTTTTTTAAGCCTTTTCTTTTCCAGTGAAACTAAGCCTACCTTGAGTTCTGACTACAGAGCGGGAGGAAGCTGCTTCCTTTTTGCATGACTCCATTTCTTTAGATACCCTCCCTCTTGTCTTCTTTCTCTGGGCTGACCCCACTTACCTCCAACTCTTCCCAAGAAGCTTGGTACAACCCCTCACCTTGAATAGTGACAAAGAGTAGCCCTATGAAGGCCATTGCTTTGCCATCATGTATCCATGACATTTCATTTTAAGATCCCAAGACTTCCTCTTGATTCTCATACTAAATGTTTGAAAGTCTATTTTCCCTACAGGGTATGCTCTTGTACAGAGGAGGAGGGACAAGCCCTGACTTTATCATAATTATGTCCAAAGCCACTACCATTTTCCTTAAGGAAAATTAGCCGCTTCCATGTTCCCAGGATTTTGCATGAGGCATTAAAGAAAGGTCACTAAAGACCTGAGCAGTTTTCTACAACCTTGTCTGCTGACAATCTGGCTGAACTCCTGCACCTCACCACAGACTCCTGTTTACTGATGATCTGTAGGATCTATCTAGCACCTTATTCTTCTGAGGTGTGCGATGCTGTGTAGTCACATGCAGGCACCTCCCTGGAGACAAGGATTCTGAAACTTCATCTGACATACTGAACATGTTCATAGGAGGGACCAGTCCTTGGAGAGGGACATCATGCTTGGGAGAGTAAAGGGACAGCGCAGGAGAGGAAGACCCTCAATGAGGAGGA